AAATTTTTATGATATCTTCAAACATATATTTTATTCAAAAATAAAAACATAATCGATTTCTCAAAATCACATAAAGTCATATTATAACATCGACTGAGATAAATAATAAAATGAAATATTAAAATCACGATGTATCTSGCTGCATTGCGCGAGTACGCTTCTAGTAATATATAAAGCGTATTTCATACGACTGGTAAACGGGTAGTGGGTTTAGTAATTCAGGGTCTGGAAAAGGAATATATTTTTATTTATTTATTTGTTTTCTATTCTTTGTCTCTTACAAAAACATCCTTCTTTCATACTCTCGGGATTTATGTTTTTATAGCTTCGAGAAAAAGGCGTTAAGGAGCTGAAGGATTCAGTTCAGCTCCTTCCCTACGTTTCCTTCCATAAATCCACTTTCTTTCTTTCAGATTCTTTACTTCACAGTTCATCTTCCATTTCCAAGGTACATCTTTTCTTCATAGATCTCTTCCAATTTGTGGTTTTGATGAACCCACCAATCAAAGGAATATGTTTTCTGAAACCCCTTTTGTTGATTTTCAGAATTGAAATCCGGATGCACATGCTTTGATTGTATTTACGTTACGGGTTTTGCATGTTGATTATCTTGTTTTGATTGTTTGGTTTCAGGGTGAATCGAATTTACCACAAGTTTGCTAGCATTTTCCCATGGGTTTTCGTTGATTTCGCGTTAGGGTTTTTGGGGGAAATTTAGCGACTTACCTGAAATGCCGTCTACAAGTAGTTCTGGGATTTCTTTCGGGACGATTCGTCGATCGATTTTAGGATTTGGAAGTGATCACAATCAAATTCATTCTGAAGAACTGAACAATGAGTCTAAATCTCTTCTGGATCGCGAGCTTGAAGGTTTTCAAAATCAAGTGTTCAATCAATTTCACACACTTTCATCATCATCATCTTCTGCTGATGATTTCCTTTCCATTGATTGGATGTTGAAGCTACTGGATGCATTTCTTGCTTGCCAAGAAGATTTCAAACGTATTCTCTTAAAGAATTCAGAATTGTTTTCGAAACCTCCGTTAGATAGGCTGCTAATGGAGTTCTTCGATAGAAGTATCAAAGCTCTCGACATCTGTAACGCTGTTCGTGATGGGATCGAAAAAGTTCGTGTTTGGCATAAACATTTAGAGATAGTTTCGAGTGCTTTTGATTCTAAACAAAGGAATGTAATGGGTGAAGGACAGTTTAGGAGGGCGAGAAAAGCATTGACCGATTTAGCTATCGTTATGCTTGACGATCAAAAGGATTCTGGATCGGTTTTTTCGAATAGAAACCGATCTTTTGGGCGTCAAAATAAGGGGAAAGAGCGTAAAAAAGGACACTCGAAATCCCTTTCATGGAGTGTATCTAATTCTTGGTCAGCAACTAAACAGCTTCAATCGATGGCAAACGGTTTAGTTCAGCCTCGAGTTAACGAAATTGGTCAGCAATTCGGTCTTGCAAACTGTGTTTTCACAATGGGTTTTGTTCTTATGTTTGTACTATGGACCGTAGTGGCTGCGATCCCGTGTCAAGATCGTGGGTTATTTCCGTTCTCGATTCCACGACAAGTTTCATGGGGAACTCCATTGTTCTTGATTCATTCTCGGATTTTGGATGAATCAAAGAAGCGTGAACGTAAGAACAGTCCTGGGCTATTAACAGAAATCCACCAAATGGAAAAATCCATCAATTTGATCTCGGATTTGATCGATTCCGCCCACCAGTTCCCATTGACCGAAGAACAGCAGAAAGAAGTGAAAGATGGAATTCAAGAATTATCTCTGGTTTGTAACTCATGTAAGAATGGATTAGACTCATTGGATCGCGAACTGAGAGAAGTTTTTCGCAAAATCATGTCCTTTCGAACCGAAGGTCTTGGAACCGTGACCAGGGCACAATCTTGAAGATCGAAGAACCAAAAAGAAGAACATAAAGCTGGTTAATTCTTGTTCGATTTGCGATCGAGGAACCAAATGGCTCAGGTTTTCGGGTTACGATGATGGGTTTTGGCTAGGTAAGCTTTATATAATTTACCAGTAATCTTTTCATATGTAAGAACTTGCTATCTGCTACTATATTTTACAATGTTTCTGCTGTGTTAACTAGTTTAGTTTCATTTCTGCTGTTCATCTTTCTGTTAAAAACCAATCTGTGTTACTTCACAACGTTCATTCATTGTTATATATACACACAAAATAGTATACATTTCTTCGGTGTTCCTGTTTTCTTGCTCGGGTGCTCGTTTTGTTCGATTACATCAAGATGTTATTAGTTGAATTTGCATACATACATGGATAAAATCGTGCCGACCTAGTTTCTACCCCAAAGGGTAGAGAGGCTATTTCCCGAGGATCTTTTAGAGGGTCACCAGTCATAGTCATAGTCATAGTACTACTCTCGCTCAAGCATTCTTGACAACGGAGTTCTATAATGCACTAGTGCTGGTATGATCGCACCTATATGATATTTGTATATGTATATGTGGATCAAGTCAATAAGATGACTCAGCATGCTCACATTTGTTAGAATCCGATGCATTAGTGCTGGTATGGTATGATCGTACAATGTGTTGTCCACATTGTATGATGCTCGTTGATTGGATAAGGACCAAGTTTTGGTAATTTTCTGTTAGTATGTCGACCTCCTTAATGGTTAAGCTGTAGCTTTAGCCAGAGGGGTGTTGTTAATGATGAAAGAAAGTCAATTATAAAATGGGAACAGTTTGACATGACTTTTGGTTATGGAATGAATGGCATTTTGAAGTTATAGGAAAAGAAAAAATGGTGTGTTTTTGTTGGTCCCCTCTTCCCTACATAGCTGGAAATATGGTGGTTTTAGTGGACATTGGCCATGCTCCAGCCTGTTTGGGGGTCAACTCTCCCATTTATCGATAATCATGCTGTAACGACTTGTATTTTATGCATTAAAAGTTGTACGTTATGTTGCATGAATAAAAACATGGTGAAAAACTGAGAACTTCTATTATTTGTCTCATTACCAGGTAATACATGGTTATGGGAAAGAAGTTTTAGAAATGGTCCCTGGACTATACCTTGATTCCGAAACCGGTCCCTAAGTGTAGGTTGTAATAATTTCTGATAGGGATGTACGCGGGTTGGGTTAGACGGGTTACAATAAATTTACAATCCAACCCTATTATGACGGTTTGGAAAAGTCTCAACCCAACTCATTCAAAAGTATAACCCAACTCAACCCAACCCTTGCGGGTTGGGTTGGCGGGTTAGTAGTTACATAATTTGACAAATGAAATAATTCATAAAACTTAAGTTTATGAACCATACTATAAAGCGTCCTATCTAAAAAGGTTACAATAGGTTTATATGACGTTTTTGAACGTTTCAACAAATGTTTAAGAATGATCTTTAAATAAAATGTATAGAAATATTTTGAGAAATGTCCCGTAAACTCATCTATTTATAGGACACCTATGTTCATATGACAAATTTTCAAGTTGTGTTGTATAAAATAACTTATATGACACTTTATTTTAAAAGCATCATAAAATTTGTTAAGACGTCCAAAATCATCCTATAAACATGTTGTAACTCTTTTAGTTAAGACATTTTTCTAATGTAACTCTTTAAAAGCGTCATATATTGATAAATTCGTCCATCAAATATCTATCAATATCATTCATATTCTCCAACATACCAATTTGTTGTTCTGCAAAAAAAAAATTCAATAATTTTCCTTATTAATTAGATTATTTGTTATCATTATTTCATCGTGAATCTTTTTTGGTAACTTATACATTTAGTTAAAATGAAACAAAACATAATATCAATAAAAATTATATAAAATCTATACATTATATATATATATATACACACATAATAAACATATATATATATATATATAAATGAAATTTTATAAAAATTATATATTAGCAGCGGGTTTGGCAGGTTGAACTAGGCTCAACCCAATTTCAACCCTCCTAATTGGCGGATTAGCGGTTTGGCGGTTTGGTGAGTTGGGTTTAATTGGGTTGTTAGCGGGTTGAGTTGGGTTGGGCGGGTTTTACAGGTTGACGGTTTTTTGTACACCCCTAGTTTCTAACTTAAAATTCTGGATTTTGTACAATTATGGTCCATCTACGGAAACTTGCTCCTGTTGTCCCTCCCTCATCTTTCACTAGGGATGTAAACGGATTCAATGTTCAGCAGAAAGTTTGTTTATTTAATAAATAAATGAACATGAATAAGATTTTTGGTTTGTTTAGCTAAAAGAACGAAAACTAACAATGATCTCGTTCGTTCATTTATGTTTGGTAACCGGAGGCGGATGTACTTGTTTTAGAGTGGACAACATTTTGTACGATCATACCAGCACTACCCTTCACTAGCATCACTCTAATTAATGGTGTTATGAGGAAGGACCATTTCATTATAAAATTGAAATCATAGAACGAAAACTAATAGTGACCTCGTTCGTTCATTTTTGATCTCTGTGGTTTACATAAATTAACGAGTACGGTCCCTGGAATTTTTTTTATCGAAGTACATCTTTATGATTTCAATTCTATAATGAAGGTCCCTCCTCATAACACCATTAATTAGAGTGATGCTAGTGAAGGGTAGTTTCGTTCATTAACGAATTCCGTCCTCCATCTACTTTCTGTTTTATAACATGTTTGATCCCTCCCTCTACTTTTATTTTTATAACGGATTTAATCCCTCTCTTCAATCAAAAGAAATTTGATGGAACAAACATATATTTTCTATATATAATAGGTAAGATTACTAAACAAACCCACATCAACTAAGTATCCAACTAAAAATACTAAGGCTGTTTGGCAGATGCTGAATGGTTTGATACAAATTGATTAAGTAGTCAGAATGATTAAGAGTCTCTCATGATATAAGGCAAAATGAAATATAATTGTTTGGTAATTGTTTACAATGAAATTAGGGCGTTTAATGGTTAAAGGAGACGCATGATAAAAAATCATTCAGATGGTTTTAGAACCATTAAGAGGCAAAAAAAATTGTCAAACAAGATTCACTTCTTAACGATTCAGAGACTGTCTCTTAAATTTTAGTATTCAAATTTTCAATTCATTATAATAACATTGATAATCTTTAACAGGTCAGTGCTAAACTATAATATTTTTTTATATATTTAGTAATATATCATTTAATTATAATTATTTTTAGTATATATTAATTAATTAGTTTAAGCAAATTATTTATACATACATATTTTTATATCCTACATAGTAAAATTTATGTATATTAATTATTTTTAGTAAATTAGTTAACTTATACTTTTTATATCTTAATAACTTTTATATTATTGGATATTTAGTTCTAAAATCTTATTGGTTTTTAAAATTTCAACTAATTAGAACAAAACATGTGTCAGAATTATAGTAAATTGACGGACGAAACTAACCCTCGCTAACGACATTATAATTTACAGTATTATTAGGGGACTATATCTGTTATAAAAATGAACGATAAGGATGTCCTTTCTTAAAATCTTTTTAAAGACCTACTCGTTAATTCATGTAAACCACATGGACCAAATTTGTATTTACGATTAATTTGGTTATATTTTTGTTAATATTTATATCTAAGACTAACTCATTAGGGTTAATTTGTATTATTTTAAGTTAACTTTTTAGTATAAATTTGTTTATAATTATGTTTCAATATATAGAAGTAAGTTCAGTTATGCACTTGATTTTCGTTGCGAATTGCGGGATAACGCGAGTGCGACACGTGTCTTCATTTATCATGAATAATTGACGTAGATATTTTTACAACATTTAGGATGAATATTCAGTGAATGTCCTGAAACATGTGGTGTGCTCTTGTTGGTCCCCCAGTTCGCAATGTAGACTAGATTTTCAGCCGAATCTGCACCTATATATAGGGTCAGGTTTAAACGAGAAGACGATCAATTTGTTAGATGACGAAAGCAATCAAAACCGTTTTTGTATATATATCCCTAAATGTTTACGATTGATTCACGGTTAGATAAACACTTTGATAATTGACATTTATACTATTTTTAATTTAGTTTTTGATTATTTTATTTAAGGTATTAATTTAATAAAATAAGTGGTCTAAAATCCTCCTCGCCTTCTTGAATTATCCTTTCTCTGTATATAGGCCTAATTAAATGAGAACTTGATAGTTAATGTTATTTTTTTAAATAAAGTAAAAAGAAAAATTAGTAATTTGATATTCTCAATTTATATTTAATTAAATTATTTAACAACTTTATATCTCTCTCCATATTTAACAACTCTCTCTCATGTTTTTTTTACCTTAAGATTGTTTACGCATTATATACCAATTGTCTATGTAAAACCAACTAGAGACAGGTTATGTCGAATGAGTGCATCACAATGTGTATTTTACGAAGTGTATTAGGTAGCTTTGCTTTACGAAGTGTATCACAATATGTATTTTCGTTATTTTTCATTGTTTTATGAAGGGTATCACAATATGCATTCTCGCTGCTTTACAAATGTTCGTAGAACATAATGAATTGCACATGATGTGTTTGTAGAAAGGGCGGGGATGAATACAAACACAACAAATTTTCACTTTTAATTCTATATTTTGTATTAAAACAAAGAACTACAGATTTGTTGCGTAAGCTAGGAAGGTAAGACATGTTATCCTAAACGATATGACCAGTGACAAGTTTACTAACAACTGAAAGAGTGAGAAAGGAGGGCACACTTTCAGATATGAAGGAGTAAGATACTTCTTCAGTTAGTGATGCCAATTTTAACTAAGAAACTATCACTCAAAAGTTCTTTCAAAACTGTTGAGTTGCAACATATGACAAAGATAACCTTTTATAGCTACCATTGCATTAAGTGTTTGCCAACTTTAACGCATGTTTTTATCTGATTTGTTGATCCATGCATGCTTGTACTCCTCATGTCAACCTTTGAAGTTGATGGAAGACACTTTTTAACCTGACCCATCATTTTGCATATAAAAGGAATAGTAAAGGAAATATGATACTATTACAATAATATTTTAGAACTTACTTTGACTGACATGCTAAGCATGTTCCTATACCAAGATGAGTGTTGGTAGAATTGGTGAACCAAACTTGTTGGACAAGTTTGCACTCCAAAATCTGGCTTGCCAGTAATAGTTTTTGTCACACTATTATTTGACTTTATCTGTATTGATCTTCTTTCAATA